AACAGCTTTATGGCAAGAACAAACTTTCTTGAGGGTACCCAAGAACAAAATGAAATTTAAAAATGGAGGAAGAAAACCATTGAGCAAGGAATAACATTAAAGGAAGATATGGTTGAAGGATCTGACCTTCCATATACTACTTGTGAACCCTGAATAGGTTGAGACTTGAGTGCCTAAATGTAAAACCAATATGCTCAAATGCAGGCTCTTAGTGAAAAACAACATGCTATATGAATGTGGAGACACACAGATCCCAGCCCATCTGCTGGTATGTCAGCTACTACCAGAAACATGTACAGTACCAATAATGACTGATTTTGGGCCAATGACAAAGCCAAGTAGGAGGCTTTATTGTGGCAGTTTAAAGTTTGATCTAGATACGGAAGGAAGAGTGTAAAAGTGTAAAAGTGGATGAAGTGAAGCAGCGGCAATGTCGCACAGGCCTGTGGGAGAGTCAACTGGAGCTGCGTGAGGTATTGCCCGGACTCTGCTGAGAGCCCAGGATCAGTGCACGCTGCTTCAGCTGATCAGTGATGGCCTTGGGGATGGCAGGCAGCCACAAGTAGTCTTAGGGCAGAGCTTCAGCTGGAGTTGTGTGAGGTTTGCCGAGAGCCCAAGATTGGCATGTGCAGCTACAGCTGATTGACGGCAGGTCTAGGATCTTTTGTCTCCTACTCTTGGCATGCCTCCTTTGCCCATTTGCCTCTAGCATTCCTCCTCAGAGCAGCATGCAATTGCTGATAGGTGATTGAAGGGGCTTTGGGGAAGTGCAGCTTCTGCAGTTGAAGTGGGGGCATGGGGGCATGTTGGGGTGCTAGTTGGTTATCCCCACCAAAGATTCCCTAACCCAGTGGTTCTCAACCTGTGGGTCGGGACCCCATTTGGGGTCGAATGACCATTTCACGGGGGTCACCAAACCATGCTGTCCACCATTTTTTTCCCTTTTCCCTAACTGTCCTACTCCCTTTATTGGTGGCCACACCCACTTGGGGGTCACCACAACATGGGGAACTGTAATTATGGGATCACAGCATTAGAAAGGTTGAGAATCACTGCCCTAACCTTAAAACAGCTCTTGGGTGGCAACAGTTACCCAGTATGAAGGGCTCAGGAGAAAGAGATACTGGCAATGCTAGCTCCCAAAAATTAGGGGTTCAGAGGCAGCTACAAGCAGGGGAGGCAGGGAAGGGGGGTGGCGCAAAGAAAGGAAATTGATTGAAACCTGATTGACAGGGAGCATAGTAACTCTGCCCCTACTCCACCGAGTGCAGATCCCCATCATCCCCAGCCCAGTAGGGGTCTTCCTGCTGCACCGTTGCAGACAAAGGGGGAATCCAGTGAGGAGGAGGAAGAGGTGGAGGTAGAAGGTTTAAGCAAACTTAGCAACCAGAGTGGGGATCCCCCCCAAAACAAACGTGCTTTGTGGGTAACCTCCCAGCATGACAGAAGTGACCAAAACCTGCTGTATTTACCCAGCAGATGGGGGGAGAGGGAATAAAAGCCAAACTTTTATTGTTGTTTTATTGGCAGCCCCCTGCTGCCAATCCTCAATAGAAATGCTGACCACAATGAAAACCTTGAACAGGAGGAAGAATGCGGCCAGGCAGGCAGGTGGGTGTCTTGCTCAGCTATGGCTTGGGGGGGGGGAAGGATGCAGCTTTACCCCCCCCCCTCAAACATTGCCCACTCACGAAAGCAGGATAAAAACTCTGAAAAATGACAAGGAAAAAAGGCTAAAACAGAGGAGTGTCTCATGATGGTTTTCTTCCCCACTTCCTTCTAGCAGTTTAAATATGTAAAGACACAAAAGAAAAAAAAACCTGGCTTTTTTCGTTTTAATTCAGAACAGGAGGATTTGAGGGGGTGTTGTTTGTTTCAATGGAAGGGAAATAGTGGCTTTGGTTCTGGGGGGCGCAGCATGATGGCGCATGGTTTCTGGCATAGGGGGGGCAGGTTTTTTTTAAAGAGCAAAATGAGGCAAAAAATAAAAATTCCCCACTCCACCCTCAAGAGCTGGACGTGGATGTGATCTTTTTTTCCCTTGTTTAGAAGAGACACTCTTCTGTTTTAACCTTTTTACTTTGTCATTTTTCAGAGTTTTCATCCTGCTTTTGTGACAGGGCAGCACTGGAGGGGTGAAGCTGCCCCTTTTTCCCTCCAAGCCACCTGCCTGCGCTCTTCTCAGTCCAAGGTTTTTGTTGTCGTGAGAATTTCTGTTGAGGATTGGCAGCAGGGGGGGGGGATGTTTGGTTTTTATTCCCCTGTCTGCTCGGTGAATGCAGCAGGTTTTGGTGACTTCTGTTGTGCTGGGAGTTATCCATGAATTATTGTATTAAATTTCATTACTGAGATCAGTGTTTTCAAGAGAGCAATTTTCTAGTTGAATAATTAGATGTTTGGAATACAAGATAACTGGCATTTATGATACATAGTTCATTTATACTTAATATGCATTATACCCAGAATATAAAATCCCTTTGTAGAATAATTCAACATTTTGTATTCAATAGACTTGGGTGAAATCCAGATTCTACAACTGATCTTACACTTATCCACTTCCCTTTTCTTCTCTAGAAAATCTCCCAGTATGTTCCAGCAAGTCCCTCTGTAGATTAGATCTGAATTCAGTGAGTGTTGCTCAGGAAAGGTAGAATTCAATAACATATTACTGTCCACTTTATCCACAGGCATTGGATTCAATGAATTCAGTATCAATCAACCAAGAATTAAGAATAACATGAACTCATCAAAAATATCAAAACTGGAAATATAGTACTTAAGTACATGATGGCCATATTCATCTAAATTCTTTTAACAGCCTCTAAACCAGGATTTTCCAGAGTGGTCATTACTGGTTCCAGGGATGACGGGACTATAATTATTCTTGTTACTATGATTGGATGCAGTCAGCCAGATGTTAAATTGAATTTGACATTTTTATCAACCTAATAAGTACTTCCCAATTATTATTAATAAATAGTAATTATTTGAGAAGTAAGTTAAAGTATATTTATTACATTATTTTCATACATTAAATCAGTGATAGCGAACCTTTTAGAGACTGAGTGCCCAAACTGCAACCCAAAATCCACTCAGGTATCGTTGGGTGTTGAGTGAGTGTGGCCCATTGGCTGGGTATGGCCAATTGGGGTGTGTGGCTGATTGGGTGGGTGTGGCTGTGGGGGTAATGGCAGACTGGGACTAAAAAGTTCAATCAATCAATTCCAACTTTGCAAGATCTTTTTTTTCCACGAGAAGTTGAAATTGATTGATTGATTGAACCTTTTTTTTTTTTTTTGCACTTGGCAGCAGAGGCCTAAAGCAAAAAGATTTTATAAAACCCAGCTGAGGGCTGGCGCGCGTGGCCACAGAGAGGGCTCTGAGTGCCGTCTCTGGCACCCGTGCCATAGGTTCACCACCACTGCATTAAATGTTTGGGAGTTGATGTTCAAACTGAAGCTTTATAAAAGGATTGATGAGCTGCTCTAAACTAATAGATATTGCATCATCATACATTTTGTGGTACTACAGTCTTCCCCTACAGTCCCAGTATGTCTGAAGAGTGTTAAGTCAGTAAGAAACCCCTGAAGTAATACACCTCTGAAGTATTTTTTTTTTTCATTTGTGCTGATATTAAGTATCAACTTCCCTGGGCAACTCAGAGTTATACTATTCTGAAAAAAAGAGAAACCATTTCCCCTATACTGTACATATATCCTGTTAATAGTTTTTTTACATTTAATATTACATTGATCATTTTATCAAAATTAAACTTTCAAAGTAAATAAGATTGGAATGTTTACCCCAACATGGAAATATTTATCCATAGATCAGATACTTCAAAACCCTTTGTCATTTTAGCAGCAGGAGAAACAAATATAATTGCAATCTACAATGAGACTATCAGTTGTTGTCTCTTCCTTAGGAGAGGAAGCAGGCACAGATTTCAGGAGAATATTATGTTTTTGATTGAATGGCTGTTCCTTAATTATTTTTAATTAGCTTTTCCATGAAGCTTATTGTTTAACTCTTCTTATTCACTTATATTTTTATTGTCCTTTTTTATTTACATGAAGTAGTAAATTTTGATTATAAACTCCTTGGAGCAAACACTTATCTGTTATTTTTAATTGCTGCTTATAAAGTATCATGTGCAGTCTTCAATCTTCAGGAGTATTATAAAATACATAACATTAATACAAAACCAAAACTAAATAAAAGCAAATGTTTATTTATTTAGTAACCTCAAGAGGCACAGCAACTCTAGCTGACATACAATGAATGAATACAACATATAACCACACCAGAAACAGAAAAATAATAATACAGCATTAAGAATTCATGTTAAAAAAACCCAATAATTACCCAGTAGGTCAATTCAAATCAGGATCACAAGTGAAGATACAAATCACTCTATTGAATGAGCCAAGATTTCAAAGCTTTTCTTAAAGAAAGCAGGGTCAAGTTTCACAAAGTTTTAGGAAGAATATTGCACCTCTAAAGTGCTACAAAATTAATCAGATTACCATATTGATGGCCAATTTACATTTCCATGATCCCATAAATAATGTTAATTCTTTTAAAATATGTATCATGTTTGGTTATATTTCTGAGACCAAGCAGTTAACAGATATAACAATGTGATTACCTCTTTACAATATTGGAAATTCTAATTTTATTCTTAATGTTTCTATTTCTAATTCTCCTTTCACTTTTGCCTCCAAAGTTCTCAATTCAACTCACCTATCATTTTTCAGTTCCACTCACACCTATGTGAATTGCATAAGGAAGAAAAAAATGAACCCAACCCTGCCCCAATTACATCACTGACAGGTATAAACTTGCTCTTCCAAGTTGATCAGAATCAAGCTTCTTGATTTTAAGGTTGTGCAATTAGCTACTCAGAGAGGTGTTTTTCTTTTTCAAGATGGTTTATTATTCACTTTTGCTTAGTTTCTGTAGTATATTTTTTAAGTTATAACTTTTTTTTCCTCCCTCAGAAAAGAAGCAATGAAAGGGGAAAGAGGAAAAACTCCATTTTTCTCCATTGGAAGACTTCCAAAATAAAGATGATTAGCCTGGAAACAAAACTGGCTGCTTGTTCTCAAAATTTCATAAAAGTGAAAGAAATTAAAGAGCAGACAGCAAACCATCAACAGGCCAAAATATAAATTACCAGAATCTTTCCACTACTTCTCTGATATTTTAACTTTTTTAACAACAAAAATAAAACTTTCTGCACAGATGAAGGAAGAAGGAAGAAGGAAGCATTGCTTGAAATCACAGCAGAAGATAAAATACCTCTCAACCAAGTTAACCTGAAAAATTATTTGGGCTGGGAACATTTTCCTTTCCTTTCCTTTCCTTTCCTTTCCTTTCCTTTCCTTTCCTTTCCTTTGATGGTGATATCACTATTTCACTACACTACATTTAACTACATTACACGCATGTTGGAAAAATATAAACAGCACCTAGTAGTGAAAAGTTTTTTATTTAAAAAAAATCAAGCAAGACCACATATTTTACATTTATAATTTCAAGTCTGTACAGAATTCTGATTCTTAGGCTCAGACATTCCCATGAATCACTGGTGGCTTTCCCCACATTACAGGAAGAGCACAATAATTTTTCAGCAATACTTCTGTGCAGAGTATGTGCACTCTTGTGAAACTCACACATCAGCCTTTTACAGGGGTCATATAAACAAGAGGTCAGTCTCTTCTGCCAATTTCTAATCCCTGTTGAATTTTCAAGGACTTGAGATTTACTCTTTCAAAAAGAGGCGTGCCTTGAAGATTTAGTATATCTTAAGAATAACAACCAAGAGAATCTTGTATCTAAACTTTAATATTTATAGTAATATAACTACAGAAAAATATTATCCAATGAAGTATAAAATATGTCTGTGAACAAATTTTGAGTTTAGGACATATGACACATATATAGCTCACTATTTAATAAAATATGAGTCTTTAAAATAAAATAAAAACCATCTCTGTTCTCATTTCCTGATACTCTTCTGAGATTGTGCTAGCCAAAAAACTGAAAACAATGGGAGGGTTGACTTTACAGCTCTGTGCTTCTTCTATTGACTGTTAACCTTCATTAGAGTGATCAAGCTCATCTTCAAAAGCCTGAAGTCACCAAAATGGGAGGGGATGGGGGGATTGTTTGGCCTCTTCCATCACTCAGCATTTAACAAGTGTCAAGAATTATTTCTGAAATTCACATTTTGATAACCAAGTGTCAGATAGAGACATGAAGCACTAAATCTTAAGGAGACAAAAGAAAAACTGAAAATATCCTCTTAAGAAAAGATGTTATACTTAACTCACCAGAGCTACAGTGTAACCAGAGTAACTTTACAGCGGTAAAGTTAATGAGTTCCTTTAATCACATGTGAAATACAGAGGGGATAGGAAGTTATACTGGCCTGGCTTAATAATGAGGGAATGCAAATAATCGCTGGATGCCCTTATCCAAAGTGACTATACAGAGACCACAACATGAACATCATGTGCAAAGTGTGCTCCTGAATAAACAGCTCTCTCGCCATATATCCAGAAGACAGATTCCAGGCTACAGCCCAGCCTCTTTCTTGGCGAAATTTACATGCACTGAGAAAGTGAGTGACTTGCTCCCTCTCGTCTCAGACTTACCTTTCTTTTGGTCTACAGCGGAGCTAAAGGTGCTCAGTAACAAAGCGAAGAGGACAGCAGTGGTAGGGACCCGTCTCGCCCCTAAATGTCCCGCGCCAGTTGCTGAAACGCCCGGAGATCGGCGTTTCCCGTACCCCATCCTGGTTGTGCGCGGCAGGAATCCAGAGCCTGTGCGCTCGGCAAAGCGAGGCTGTGGTCCGAGAATGTGAGTCCACTCGTTGCGCTTTTTTTCGGTCTCTACCTCGATAACTCTGCTTCTTTTCCCCTTTTGCTTCCAGTCTCTCAACCACTACCCATGCCGAAAGACTGAGGCAATTCCAAGATCGGGGGTGGGGGAGAGGGAAGGAGGAGCGAAAGGAGGCTCTTTTTATAGTGGTTGCTGCCTGCGGCTGCCGCGCACTCACTCGCTGACTGGGCAAAGGAGGGAACGATCCTCGGGAAGCCGGCCCCGCTCCGCGTTCGCTCAAGGGGCAAAGAAGCTCGCGCCTTTTTGCAGAAGGGGCCAACATACAGCAAACACCGTGCGAGGGGCTCCCAGCACGCACGACACGAAGGAAAGAAAGTAGACTAAAAAGACATCCGCGTTCCATCAATCCTCCTCCTCTTCCTTGCTAAGCTTGCAAACAAAACTTTTTCCTCCTAGCGCAAACCAATGAAAAATAAGAGGCGGGAACTATAAGAAATAAAAAAGAACTGGGTGTGAGGGGAGAGGCCCTATCTATGTTGCCTTCAGGTGGAGTTTTGTACCTGTCCAGTGCCGGTGATGGGAAGGGCCAGAAATTCCTGTCCAGCTGGCTGAGCTGTGTAATACGCATGTGCGCTTTACCTAGCACTATTAGAAGTTTATCTGCTGCCGCAGCCACAGTAACGGCGCTACTGATTTACCTATGGCTGCAGCTTTCCCGCTGTTCCAAGAAATGAGATTAAATCTGTACTAGCAAGAAAGAAAGCCAACATGTCATTACGCAATTAGGACCTTTTAGGAAAACTGTAGCTAAGCTGAAGTGGAGTCAGGAAGCAACCTTACTGTCCAGAGTAGCTTGTGCAACACTTTGGCCAGTCACGGGATTCCAGTGACCTTTGGAGCTATTCCTTTACATAAAAATAAAATGTTTTTACATCTTAAAGATAGAGTTCTTCCAGTTGCTTTGTCCTTGAACTGGCAAAAAAATTATAGTGGTGTAAATTTGGCAATCCCTATTTTACTACAGGCAGAATACCAGCAAATAGTGTATATTAATATATGCAGGCCATGCAAAGGACTGAGATTAGTGGATTACCCCTGAGATTTGTTTTTCTTCTATTCCACCAGGCTACAAGTACATTCGAACAGAGTCTAAAATATTAACTGACCTTCCAGGTAGTCCAGTTCACCATAGCATCTACATTCAAAGTCCAAACAAAAGCAGCCAGATGTGACAACCACTTTCACTGTCCATTGGACATCAGATAAGAGTACTAGCGTGTTTGGGGAGAGTATCTATCTTGAAAAGATCAGAGACTATCATGACTACAAGATAGAAGGATCAGGAATGCAGTGCCCATTAACCAAAGGGAAGGAGTATGCTTACACCCACCTGAAGTGGCTAAATAGAAGCTGGGGTAATCAATAGAACTGTTGACAAAGTGTATCAAATTTTATCTGTGTAATCACTTTTCAGACGGTTGCATTTTTTTTAGATATCTTTTCATTGGACTTGATTTGTAAAACAGATCATTATTTCTTTGTTTTCAATCTTTGTATATTTGCCATGGATAAACAACTTTTCTTCCAGTAGTCCTGTAGCTGCTGACTCTAGCTCCTCAACCAACACTCTGGAGTTGTGTGGCTCATTTGTCACCAGATTTCCAGATACTGTGACACCAGCACAGTTCTTGTTAATCAAGGGCTCAGGAACAGGGAGAGGAACAAACTGCCGGCCCGCGGGCCAGTTTTATCATACCGAAGCCGCACCCACCCCATTGCTGGCAATGCAAAAAGTGTCATAATATGTTGCGACACATCACATGACGTGGCGAGTTTGACACCTGTGGTCTAAGGGGTAAGGAAATCTCAGGTTTTAGTAAGCTGCAGTGAAAGACTGGATGGACCTGGCTGAGGGATTATGGCAAATCTAATTCCATTGTGACTGGATTAACAATATGTTTAATGGGGAAAGGTCCCACAAACTAGGTCTCAAGTTTTTGGAGGGTTGAAAAAAAACTGTAAATAATGTGTGGAAAGATAAACTTAGTCTCCCACTTTGAAAGTCTTTGGCTCAGTTCTCTTCTTGTCAGCTTGTGCTTTGTAGCATTATGAGCCTCTGTGAGAGCCTTCCATACTATAGGAAATATACAATATAAATATACAAAATACTATACTATTTTGTAGTTGGGAAACCCTTACAGCCACAACCAATCTGGTAGATAAATAAATCTTGCCATATTATTATTATTACATGCCTGTTTCTGAATGTCATTACTAAAGTTTCAATACACACAGAGACATAGTCATACTGCTTTTCCAAACCTATTGTTTATTGAAGAAGGCTGAACTAGAGAAGCTAGGAAACCCTGTTTTTGTGTTGTCTTACCATAGTACTTGATTTGGTTGAGTTTTATCATGTTTTCACTGTGTCCACAAATATATTCTGTTTGTTCAGCCTTAAAATGGTTATTAATGACTAACAAAAATGGCAGCATCAGATTCATGATCCAGTTCTTGATTTGCTTGAAATCATCCTGGAAGAGGAATAAGCCCTTTGGTCACTCATCTAGTTCATCAGCTGAGGAAGGTACATACAGCATATAATTTGTTCCCTCCATCCTCATGCCTTTTCACTTGGATGTGAGAGTTCCTATGTATCTTTTTCATATCCAGGATACTTTTTATTAGGATACCGGACAAGATTATTATTTTTTAAGGCTTTTTCACTATATTTTTCTGGTAGATTATCAGCAAACAGAAATAAATAATGGTGAGTTAGATAGCAAAATGTTTCCTATGCTGTCCACCACAATCTGCATTCAAAGATTAAAGAAAATTTCTTTCATTATAAAGAATTGTAGTAGAAGGACCATATAGGGCAAAAGGAAAAATTTGAGAATAAATAGTAAAAAAAAGAGCTCTTTTGCTAGTTTAATAGAAACCGTAGTTTCTGTTTTTGTATTTACACAGTTTAAAATATATTTCTGCATTCAGTATGATTCCTTTCCTTACTACTCACTCCAAAGCTGTAAAGGCAGTTTGAAAAGGAACATAAAATAGCATTTCCATGAATAAGAATAGTATATTACTGTTTAAATATGGTAAAAGGAGAATACCACTTATGGAATCTGTTGGATAAAAATGATGCTAAAGATATGTTAATGGTAGATAATGAGAGTACAAAAAAAGAAAAAAAGAATGCAGAATGCATACTTTCTTGAGAAGAATAAAGAGCAGAAACATGTTAAAAACTGACCTTCAAATAAAAATGTGAAAATTTGAATTTAATAGTAATTACAAGAGATGAAACTCTACAACATTTTCTATTTTTATTCCAAAAATTAATGGTATTGTGCCTTCAATGAAAAACATGTAATTATGAACAAATTTTAAGAGTGTCTCTAGAGACAGGCTGTGTTTCAAAGATGTTATGAATGAGGGATAAGTGCTATTTGTCCAATTTATATAGCTGCCCAGTCCAATAAGTAACTGATCAGAGTACAAGTTTTACTTGACAAGACTGAGACTGATTGGAAAATGAATTTAAAATGACAAACTACAAGAATGACAAGAAAAAAGTTTCTATACTGGACATACAAAAGAAACTGGCTCATATCTTAATTATTAAAAGAGAGATACAAATTACAAACCAAGAAAGTGATCTGGATAGTTTTCTTATACTGAAGTTACAAAAGAAGCTTGTTAAAGATGAAGGACCTTATTAAAAGGGGCAAAGAAGAAATGAAAAGATATCAAATTTTAGGGCATTGTTTGAAGGGACAAAAAAATCAAGATTGTTAGAGATAAAAAGAAGGAATATAAAGTTGATTTATTTGATCAAGGATAAAATAGATATGTTGTTATCTCTGGTAAACTCTAATGAAACTTTGCTAATATCAGGTCTGAAATTATTAAGTTTATTATGGATTTGCTTATAAATTAGGGATGGGATGTGTGAAGTATATATCATTTTAAGAGATTAATTATTAAAATTGCTTATAGTTGTTGTGATGACTTCACAAAGGAGTGAAGTTGCAAATTGACTTCCTCAAGTCAATTTGCTGGCCCACATTTTGAGATAACTTGTTTCATTTCCCCCTCCTTATCAGGAAAACTATTTTTTTATTTCTGTTCTTTTAAATACTGATGCTGCAGCGATATACTCTCTAACCCTTGAGACAGACCTCTGTCCTAAATCCCAGACCTGTACAATACTAGTTAAGTGGACTGTATGCAAACCACTATTTTTTAAAGGAATAAATGTAGCAATTTCACTGCCTCAAAAGACATGTTGCTGAGCATCTTTAAGTCTTGCTGCTGCAGGCAGTTCACCACTTCCACCATTCCCTTGGCAGCAGAAGAGCTGATCAGCAGTTCAGGTACTTTGTTGTGGTCCACAAGGATTTGTAATTTATTGAAGTGCTCCTTTTCCCTTCATGAGTTGGTCAGGGCAGCTTATCTATTATTGTCAGGAGGATAAATTTGACATATTCAGAGAGTATGGGGAAGAGGAACAGTCGCTAAGACATATCACCACCAAAGCCAATATACTTTTGAGCACAATTGGTACTTTGCTGCTTGTTATGGAAATAACTCTATTTGTGGTACAATGTCAATTTTCAGAAACAGGATCATGAACCCCCTGCTATGTAATATGCAGATTTGCTATTCCTGCAGCTAAGCTGTATAAGGATAGTTCAGTCTATATTTATACATTCTTTGAGGAGTAACAAATTCCTCTTGAAATGGATATGAAGCCTAATTTCAATGAAAATTTGTGTCTGGTTTTGCTGCTTGAAATACTGGACTAAATTACTTTTTTTTTTGACAGCATTATCAATGCCTTGACCTTGAAGGACAACTTTATGACTTCATAGGAAGACAGGCATTAGCATAGATTCTTTGATCCTAAGAGCTTGAAGAACGCTTGGAATGAGCTGAAACCAAACACTGTTGATACAAATATTCAAGCACAATCTAAGTAAAATTTCAACATTTATATGAGCAGACCAGTTTGGGACACCATTCTCCCATGCCAACATTTATTGTACCAACATGGAAGACCTTGAACCCTCACTGCCATAGTGCTTTGCTAACTTTATTGTGACAAGACAGAAGATTCAATAATATATCCCAAAGGAAGAGAGACTTTATTTTAGAAACAGTATCCCATGTGATTCTGGGCTGTTTCTTTTCATATATTTTAGCAACCAGGCAATGTTCTTCTTCTCCCATTCTCATGCTGGCATAGAAAAGAAGACTCTTCTGAGTGGTCAGGTCACCAGATGTTTCTAGAACAATCCTACATTTGTTGCAATTCTTATGATGTTAACTTGGTAATTTTGATATTTTTGATACATCTTTCTTTTTAGGTTTTTTGTTATTTATAAATTGTTTGTTTCTTCAGTATGTCTGTTTCCATATTTGTCAAGTCAATTAATCAACCAGAGCATTTTCTGTGACAAAGCATCATTGTATTTATTTTTTTTAAAAAAAATAATTCTGTAATTCTCATAACATGAGGTAATTACTGATATATTTAATAGTTTGATGGATAGTTAATTTAATTGAATTTTGTGAAATTTCATCCAGCTATTGTAAGATGGCATTTGGAATCCAATTCCATTTGTACCAATTATTAAATCTTAACTTAATGAATTTATGCCTTTATTTGCCCAGATCAGGATAATAAATCATCATAGCTCATCATAAACTAAACATACAGCAATGGAACCATAAAAAGATGAAATCATGCATCATAAAAGGCAAGCAACACACTTCA